CGCGTGCCGGCGCAGCCCTCACCGAGCAGCACGCCGCCGGCTAAGCCACGCCGTGACAATGGCGAGGCTGAACGGTGGCTTTTACTACCAAACATCGAATTTTATTCCAGTCTCTAGCGTGAGTCGGAACGAAGCCTTCCCTTGGGGCGGCTTTTACCGTTTTCTGCTCCGCATAAAGGAGTTGCATACTGCGGGTTCAGCCGCTGCTGCCAGAGACGCTGATGCTGCCATTTTCACTGTCTCACTTTGTGCTTCACCAAGCATTTCCAACTCAAAAAGTCTATTTTAGGAATTTAATCAAAAGCATATACAGTTCTAATCAATCATTAATCCATATTTAGGTGCTGGTGGTTGAAAAACACTTACTCCTTCCAAGCAGAGCCCTGTAAAAACGTGCAGGGAGACGCTGATAATACTGTTAGTATTTTTGCTTAGAGCATAAGTTTTTCTACTACCTTACCAGTATAAAACTTTTCTGAAGTCCAGAAAGATAATTTCTCAAGGTGTCTTTTGCTCTGTTCCTCTCACTGCCGACATCTTCACCGCTTTATCTCCTCGATGCCTGCTGGGTCACCCTTGAGGACCCACATGCAAAGTCTTACCCAGGCTTTGCCACGTGCTGCCCGGTGCCCCCAGCGCCCAGGCATCGGCTGTGGCAGGGACACAGGAAGCACCCGTCGCCGTGAGAGCAGCGGGGGGGTCTGCGGGGTGGGCACTGCCACCCCCTGCCTTGGCACCCCAGCAGGGCTGTTGGTGCTTCCCGCGCTTCCCTGCCGCGGGTGTCGCACGGGGCAAACACTTTGCCCTGCTGCGCGTGGGGGTTACACGAGATGCTTTTTCGTGCCACGGTACGCTTTACACTCGGTACGCTGGCAGTAAGGCGCTCGCCATTTCAAGGACGGGTTCAGAAGTAGAGAAACAGAACGCTCCTGCTGCGACACCAAAGCTGGCTGGCGGACCCCACCTCCTGGGGCAAGCAGGAGCCCAGCCCAGGCCTCCCCACGGCCAGGCTCAGCTCCCCGCTGGTCTCCATCCCAAGAGCAAGCTTCAGCATCCTTTTGTCAGTAAAAGACACCCACTCAACCATTTCTGTTTCTCTCTCCAACCGCCGTAAGTCCAGCATTACTAATTACTCCCAGTAACAGCAGAAGTAAAACATGTCCTGGGGGCTGGTGCCGGTTGTTTGCAATAGCTACCGTGTGTACTAAAGCCGACTTGTTATTCCCTTATGATAAATGGGGTACTTGAGTGACAAAAAGTACATTGCACTGGAATCAAAGACAAGTTTAACTTGTATATTCAACACAAAAGATGAAAATGAAAAACATAGCAGTCATTCCAAACACATTCCATCTAAACAGGCAGCAGACAGTCAGGAAAAAACCCACCCAGAATTCTTGAAGATGCAGTATCTTTTATGCAAAAGAAAAGCAGGATGTTAGAAGTACATGTTTGTGGTGTGTTGTGATCTGTTTAAAACCAGTAGCCACCAATGTGTTTGTTCATAATTCAAGATTTTTAGGGTTTATATTTAATACATAAAACATTTATATAGAGGATATTTGTTCAAGACTGACAGCTGTTCTTTTCCAAGCCTATAAAGCTAGTAAGTTAATTTTCTTTTTAAAAATTCATATGTGAAATCCTTAAAATTGTTTATCAGTTAATTGGAACACATAATACATCACTTATCAAATAAGTAGAGCATAAAACATACAGCAGTGCTATGTAAGGCTGGGACCTTCAGTCGTCCTTTATCCGATGACCATTCAGTGCCGTTTTGTTACACTATTTCCTTCAAGTCCAGGGATTAAAGAAAGTGATTACTGAGTAAGACAGGCACTTTAAAAACCCAACCCAAACCAAAAACCACCAAAACAAAACCCCCAAACATTTGCACTGTTACAATCATCCCACTCTGTTTTCAAGTGCTCCCCTTGAACCGTGCTGGAGAGACAAGAGCATAAGCGCAGCAGCCGTGTGTGAAGGGCAGGGTTTCACAAGCTGCCTTGTGCCTCGTGAAGACTGGTCCCTGGGCCTGCGTGCACCCCGTTGCGTCCCACCGGTCAAGGGAGCAAGCAGCCACCGAGCACCTCCCGCCTGCAAACGGTGACCTTGCCCGTTTGCACAAGGCTGCGATAGGAAGATGTTGTGATAGGAAGAAACAAGAAGCAACCAATTCAAGACATCAAGTCCCACACACTGTGCCAGCTGGGGGCTTGGGTGAGCCCAGGCAGCGTGCGGGCAGGGTCAGGCACACCAACCCTTCTGGTCTTGGGCAGGAGAGAAATCCCAGGGCGGTCCCAGCAGTTTATGGGGTTCTGAGCTCAGACGACAGCACTGAAAGAACACTTAGGTTAGAATCAGACTGATTTTCCTGCCAGAGAAGATGAGAAACGCTGCAATCCAGACACTGCAGAGCAACGCAGCGAAGATGGCAATCACGACCAAAAACTTACATTCTCCTACGCTCCTCAATTGCACCCAGTGAAGGCGAGCCAGGCATGCTAGACCAACGTTTTCAACTCACAGGTTCTCATTTAACCACTCGATACATCTGTTCAACAGCCGGTGCCCTACAGCTAACTCAGCTGGACCAGAGACAAACATCATCATCCCATGAAAGGAGTCCTTGGCATGATCATGCGTGACGGGAACACCCACTGCCCGGAGGCGCCCAGCATACATGACTCCGTCATCCCGTAAGACGTCATGCTCGCAGGTGAGGATGTAGGTGAGGGGCAGGCCGCGTAGCTGGGCATCGCTCGCCAGCAGCGGGGCCGCCCTCGGATCCAGAAAACCTGGGTACTTCTGTGCAAGCTCAGAGCTTCCATAGGTGGGACTGGTGTAAACATGATCTTTCTTCAGCTCTTCAGGCAGCAAATTGCTCCAGTTTACAAACGGAAGTAAGTGGCTCGATTCAACTGGGACATGGCTGTTGGAGGCCATCGCTTCCCTGAGAGATGAATCAGAAGTGAAATATTCACTCCAGAACTTGACCATAAGCACCTTAGGTAAAATGGGCTTGTCTGCATTCTCTTGGTAAGATGGCAAATTCAGGTCAAGCGTTTGAAGAGCAGGATACAGCAAAACTTGGGCTTTGAGTTTTGTTTCAACTTCAGAATCTTCTAACAGCTGTACGAGAAAAGAGGAATAATTACAAAAAGTCAGTTAAAAAGTGTTGGTTCTCTCACGCTGACAGAAGATCTTAAAACTAAGGAATTAACACACGCATGTTACAACATAAGTAAAATATGATTATCAATAAAACCAGGATAGATTACTTTAAAGAAATTCTAAATTCATAGGGAGGTCACCTAAAACAGCACATTCTATTAAAAATTCTCCTGCACCAAATGTAATTTCATTTTATTATGTTGAAGGACAACAATATTTGAGAAATATTCTTTTTGAAGCATTGAGACTTTGAGGCATTTATGCTTTCCTAAGTAGTAACAAATGCTTTTTCTATAAACTATAGAAATTTTCTATTCCTATAACTTAAAAAAAATTGCAGGTTTCTGAGACTCCTTTAATCATTTCACAATTTAGAGCTTATCCATCTGCTGTTCTTTTAACTCGAAGGTGTTAGAACTCAAACAACTATAACTCTATGCATTTGAGATATGAAAAATGAAATGTCATTAATTGAACACTGACATTTCTTATATGTTGTCTTTCCCCTCTTCATTAATAAATTTCCACCTTCTCCATCATCTTTTGCTTTCAGTGTCCACAGCAAATTCACAGCTTTTCCAAGTGAAATTCATTACAATCCAGATAACTTCAAGAGAGCAACAAGATTGGAGTGACTTTATTAAATAAACCTGAGAGAGGAGTGCAAAAGGCCCTGAAACTGTGTGTGATCAGATGACACTGGAACATTCAGTTGTCTTTTTTCCTGCTATTTACATCTATATGAGTCAAATTGCTAAAATTCCCTTTTCAAACAACATACTTAAAACAGTCAAAATGTGCTTAAGGATACAGTGATATATGCCCTAATTATAGGGCCAAGAGCCCATTTTTAGGGTTTAAAGGTTTGGAGTACATCATAGCATCAAAGGTACTTTGATGCCATTAAACTGCTCAAGTAAATTTACTTTCCTGGAAACTCAGAGCCCTCACGGACAGTCCTGCATGCAGTACGTGAGCCACGAGAGACGGCTGGGAGGTGCGCTTGCTTTGAGCAGAGGTTGTTGTTAGTCTTTTGTAAGTGTTCACGAAACAACAAAAAACCATTTTGAGCTAGCAAACCAGCTTTTTTACCTGTTGTGCCACAGCTGCAGCCAAGTTGCCACCTGCACTGTCTCCTGCAACGCAGACCCTGTCTGGGTCCACCCCGTACTGGGACAGGACACTGCTCTGGAGGAAGAACTTTGTTACCGAATACACATCTTCAAACTGAACAGGAAAATGGTATTTAGGTGCCAACCTGTAACTGTCGGAGGCAAGCAGAAGTGTGTTACTTCCTGCTGTTAATAGAGAGAAAGACTTGCTAGCATCTGCCCTAGTTGGTGAATGTTTATTATTTTCCGCGCCCAGAGAAGTAGGAACTATCTGTCTGTCCTGGAGGACTAAATACTTTATTATCCACCCAACTTCATAAAGCAATATCCAAAATAGCCACCAACCACAATTCACTGCTGCAACCTTGACAGCTTTTGTTTACAAATATTTAAGGCTAGCAGGAAAGTACATGATAAAAAAAAGAAAATTAATTGAAATAGATTAATTTATTCCAAACCCTCATCCCATCTAGAAGGAGAATCTCTTACTTGACTGATACCACGACAGCATTTAACCTGTTTGAAGTCCACCTTGTCAGACAATCGTAGGATTTCATGCCTAAGATGAAACAAGTCACTTAGAATACACTCCAGCACATTTGAGAACAGACACGTTGTGGTGGGCTGGCCTTGGCTGGACACCAGGTGCCCACCAAGCCGTTCTATCATTCCCCTCCTCAGCAGGACAGGGAGGGGAGAAAATAAGATGGAAAAAACCTGGTGGGTCAAGATAAAGGCAGTTCAATAAAGCAAAAGCCAAGGTCTTGTGTGGAAGCAAAGGAAAACAAAAGATTTGTTCTCTACTTCCCATCAGCAGGCAAAGTCCAGCCTCTTCCCAGAAAGCAGGGCTTCACACATAGTGGTTGCTCCAGAAGACAAGCTTTGTAATACCAAATGATTCCCCTTCCTCCTCCTTTCTCTTAGCTTTTATTGCTGAGCCGATGTCATATGGTATGACACATCCCTTGAGTCAGTTGGGGTCAGCTGTCCTGGCTGCGTCCCCTCCCAAGATCTTGACCACCCCCAGCCTAATGGGGGGGGTGGGGAATGTTGGCGAGACAGCCTTGATGCTGTGTTATCAACACCATTATAGCTACCGACACAAAGCACAGCACTATGAGGGCTGCTACGGGCAAAATTAACTCCACCTCAGCCAGACCCAATACACACACATACAACAGCATGTTCCTCTTTGCGGAAGCTTTCAGATAACTTCCCAAAACCTCCACCTGGTTTTAACTGCTAAAATACCAGTTCCCTGGCCCTCTCTGTGGCACCTCACATAAAACAAAAGGCAATGCTTAACACTGGCCATTGAGATCTTCCATACGGACCCCTGGCACTGACCGAGAACAGCTTACCTGCCTGTCCTACACACCATCCTCCACCATGGAAGTAGACCACCGCCCTTCTCAGCCCATCAGACGCCTTTCTGGGCAGGTACAGACGGACGGCAACGTTGCTGAACTCTGTGTCCATCACAGTGACGTTTTCATCGGACATGGGTGCGACGTACTCAGCGGCTGTGATAAGCATCAGAGTTTCCATATAGTGCATCAGACCCAGCTGATCAGCAACCTCAGCCTAAAGCCCAAGACAAGGGAAAACAGTATTTTAAGCACAGCCTTAGTTACTCTCAGAGATTAAATTTCCATAAAGCCATTTGATACTCTGTGCAAGCCTGTAAAGCTGCTGTAGCAGTCACTAAGCCAAACGCTGCTGACTCGGAGGAGTCGCTGTCACGCACTGCCCAGCCTGAGCCGCCCAACTCCCTTACCCGCCGTCGCTGCCGCGTGAAGCTCAGTGCTGGTGGCTGGAAGGCAGCCCAGGGGACCACCGCTTCTCGCTGCTAAGACAATGACTGGAAGCACAGGCATGGAGGATAGCAAGGACACCACAGAGGATGTGCAAGAAAGCAGAATCAGCTGAAGCCTCCCGATAGCCAGCGTGAGGGTCTGCTCATCTTTCCAGACAGTTACCACAAAACTAAGTTAATAGCTGCTCCTGTGATGAATTCCAGAAGCAAAAGCAGCCAGTACTTTCAGGATGCCAAGGACACTGGTGGCATAAATACAAGGATATAGCAATTTGACTTCAAGCTGCACAATAAAGTTTAGTGATCAGTTCCACCCCAGTAGCCAAAGAGCATCGTTTAGTGGCAAGTACCCTTATGTTTATTAAAAGGAAGTATTTTCTCTACTTTGAGACGTTAAAAAGGCAGAAGTATATTTTTGCCACTTTACCACAGTCCAGTTCTGTTTAATTTCTTCAGTGTAGATGTAACAACTCCACGAGTCGCATACCTCTGTTTCTCTATATAATGAAGGAGTGCTCCTACTGAATAGCAGATTGAGTCGTGTCTTTATTGCCCATTCCACATGGTCAGCAGATGAGACAAAATTTCATGACGCTGCATGTGCCACTATACCTTCTGAAGCTATTTTCTGCTCCACCATCCTTGAGGAGGATCCAGTTTTGCCTGAGCCACACAAATCCTTTCCTTACATCAGTTTGCTATTTCACAGTAAAAAGCTAAAAACAACCCTGCCACCGACGTTCCGATGTCCACCATCCCTCTGCCCGTGAGGCAGTTCCCTGTTGGTTGAACCAACAGAAGCACAGCTCTGGTGTGGCACCACCACCGTCACTCAGCACTGGCTCCAGCCCGACTCCGACCGAGGCCGATCCCAGTGACACCCTGGCCTGGAGAGACTCCACGGGACCAGGAGGAGCATCCTCCAGGAAGGGAAGTAAGGGTGACGCTAACCGGGATCTCTGTCTGCCTGCTGAGTGCATTAGTCTGGGGGTCTTAAACAGGTCTTTCTCCCAGAAATCAAATCTACCCCAGATGTACAGGTGGAGCCCAGCCCTGTGCAGCCCTCTGAGGTGGAGAGGGCAGGGGAGGCCACTGATGCCCCTGGGCATCATCGGTGCCTCTGGGAAAGCCACGCAAAGGGTAGGGAGAACTTGCCCAATGGGCTCCACGGAAGTTCCCCAACAGAAGAAAACTGATGTGGTTCAGGGAGTTCAGAACCAAGGAATTGCCAATTTTTAATACTGTTAAAGCAGTTTCCTTTGGAATTCATGTTTTAAACATTTATTATGAAATTCTATAGTTCTAAATTAGATTACAGTTACTCTAAGGTGCTAAATAAAATGAAAACAAAAAAAGCCTCAAACCCCAGCAAGGGGGCAAAAGGCAAGCTCCAAAGATTAATATTTGGCAGCTTTCTCTCTGACATCGTGACAATTTAGGCAGGCTAAAGCATTTCAGAATCCCTTTCACTCACAGGCTGTTTTCAACCTTGAACATAAAACTTTTTAAAAAAATTGGCTTAGGTTTCATTATACTAAGTCTTTGGTACACAAGAGTGAATGCAAGCGAAAACATTTCTAAAGGCATTTGCTATGGTCTGTGCTAGAAGCGCAGATCCCAACAACTCCTTCCAAACCCAGCAGCTCCCCCGGGGGGACTCACATTTCCCCACAGCAGCCTTGGGGAGTTGCAACAAGTAAAGATGTGACCGTGCTTGTTTATACATAAATCTCACTGGCTTTCCCCACCACCTTTCTTCCCCTCCTACATTGGATTGAATGGTACTTAAAGAAACATACTTCTCACATTGCTTTTAAAATACTAGAAATATATTCCTAAAAAGACATAAAAACCTGTAATAGACAACAAAATGACATAAAATAATCATGCCACAATGACTGGAGGGAAAATAAAGCTTGGACTTTCTATACTGTGAAAGATAGTGTAAATACCTATTTAAACAAAAAATTAGCCACATTAGAGATTGACTGTGCATAGAGCACGATCTCGGTCATGTGAAATGCCGGCAATATGAGGAACCCCATCACGCGTAGCCTCCTTAAAGCACAGTGTGCTACGGCAATGGGCTGCTGGAGCTACTTGCAGCGAGAAGGTAAAAATAGCATGGAGTGCTTCACGATTTGGGAGCATTACATTACCTAATTCCTAATGATAGATTAAGGAGTAGCTGGGGCAGCAGGGGTAGTTGGTTTGCTTTTTAGACGAAAGAAAGGTATGAGAATACCACTTCAAATTTGCTCGACAGCCATTTGCTATCTGACTTGCTGAAAGAGAGCTAAGGACTTTAAATTTCTAGTTCATTTCAAGCAAAAGTAGAAGAAATTTCAAACAAATTTGCATATATATTTTCAGTTTAATGTGCACCACTCTTGTGCACATTCTAGTTAAACACCGAAAAAATTAAGAGCTGGCACTGTGCTGAAAAAAACACTTGACTAAATTTTAGGCCACTGTACAACTCTTTGAACAGGCATACACAATCCCGTCATTGCGCTGGAACAACTTTGATCAACACGCTTGGTTTGGAAGGTACAGAATTAACAACAGGCCTACGTCTATAAATCAGATCGGAATTTTTTAGTAAAGCAAACACTCCCGTGACTGTTACTAGCACTGTGTTACCAATTGTTTGGAAAGGAAAGCGCGCTGGGAAACCCCCAGCATTGATGTTGGGGTTGCCGGTTTGCGTGTGCATGCTCAGCATTTTATGCGGGTAATTTCCATAGCCCGGCGCCCAGGTCCACGCCCTGGCTGCGCCGCCGCG